TTTCACAACAATGGTTTGTAAAAAGATGTGACATGTTTCTTCCAAACACACAACCAGAGACAATTCGTCCATGAGCTGCCAGAACACATTTCACGTGAAGCATAAAAAATCCCAGGAGCTGAGGAATGAAGAACTCAACCCAGATGAATACAAGCCAGCCAAGCATTTCTAAAGAACATTAGAAAGCATCCTAGGCAGCCCTCCACGTCATCACTGTGGTTATTACCATAATTATTCCTCCCTCACTTTGCAGTTAGCCATATGCATGCTACACGAGGTCACAGGCTGCCCTCCCCTGGTTTTCCAGACACACAAAACCAACAAGCCAGGGAAGGCTGAGCTAATGGCCCTGGAGAGAGATGAGTTGCAAATCACCATTCTCCTCAATTTACACCAAATAAATAGATGGAATCTCACGCCACACATGGAGGGACCGTGATCCGTAGAAAACCCTGGACAATGTCACCTCCTCCCTGTGTCCCCTTATCTTTTACCTCTCCTCCCTCCCCCACCGCCACATCACAATCCCATTACAGAGAATGGGAGTGGAGTCAGCATGGGTGGACCAAGGACGATGGGTTTCATGTGGGAAGAGAACCAAGCTCACCGGAGAAAAGCAGTTCTTCAAAGGAAGACTTGCAGGAGAAAATAAGGAGCTTACTTTAAAGCAGAGGGGTTGAAATCCCAGGGATGAGAGAAATTCAAATGAACACATCTTTTAAGTGTTCCTGTTCTTTCCCACACCGCTGCTCTGTCAGCTTCCATACTGTGGACCTCCTGATTCTCCAGTGCTCAAAAAGCGTTCTCCTTTTGTTCACTGGAAGAAAACCATTTTTGTTGGCTCTACTCAAAAGGCAGCTATGATGTCTCTGGGATGATAACACTTCATCTCCTCCTGCTAAATTATTTGATCCAGAACACAGATATTGGAAAATTCAAATGGTTTCTTTGGTTTCTATTATCACACCCAAACCAAAAATCATGGGGTGTCCTTGACCCCAGCACATGTCCTCTAATTTCAACCCATCTCTGACATTGGCCGGGGGTTCCCAACAAGCTACAGTCAGAAATCATGGCCTCCATGCAAGCACGGGAGTCTCCTCCAGTGATACATCCAGAAATGCCATGTGCTATTAGGAAGTTTCTTTTCAAATTCATGGGTAGTTGTCCAGAGAAGAAAGCATGTCCTTCCCTTTACAATTGCAAGTTAGAAAGTTGAGTAAATCAGAAACAGACGGCACCCTGAGTTTGTAGCTGACCTCTATGAAAATCCTTATAGATGATGATAACAGTCATGATGTTGAGCGATCTGTTTCTCCAGGTTTTGTGACAATACTAGTCTCTGCAACTTCTCTTTATAAGACCTCAATATTTTCCTATTTCACAAGTTGTCTGGCTCTCTCCATCTGACCTAAGAAGAGCCTATTCTCATGAACAACAAAGGCAGCTATTGATGTATATAAGATGGGTTCATTTTGCTGAATATACCTACAGGATATTCTCCCTAAGTCAGCATTTTCTAAAAGACAACCAATACTTCATAGCAAAAATTAGATTAACAGGATCATGTCCAATTAGTTTAAAATACTGGACCAGGCAATCTCTCTGATGTGTTAAACCACCTGGCTTTCCACTGGCTTCTTTCAAATGTTCTGTTTCTGCAGATCCATGCTGCAGCCCATCAGCTTGGAAAACACATCTCTTCCTTCTCAAGTGGAAAGCCCACATATTGATGATGGGTTTTTCCAGTTGATGGTTATGGCAGGGAGCAGTCTGATGCCTCACCTCCCTACGGTGGAAGAAAGGAAGCTGACCAATCAAAGCGTGCACCTACACAGCCCCAACTGCCCTCCAGATGGGGTGGTACCTCCCTGCACCTCAAAGTAAATTAGATTGATGCCAAGGGTCACCTCTTGAGCATCATCCAGATAATGAGGATGTCTCAGGGTGGCCACACTCTAGCTGCACAAAACCCCAGTCAGTGCTGATGGCCTCTGCTCACCATGAATGTTCCAAAGGTCATGTTATTAACTAGTCATTCAATTGCCCAGCTTTTTTTATACCTTTTTATTGCTCTGGTTTATTCCTACCCTCCCATGCAAGTCTTCACCCTTATATTCCTTTTTTTGTCTCTGAGATGGGGTCTTGCTTTGTTGCCCTGGCTGGACTACAGTGGCACAATCCTAGCTCACCGTAACCTCAAACTCCTGGGCTCAAGCAACCTTCCTGCCTCTGCCTCTTGAGTAGCTAGGACTACAGGTGCTCTTGATCATGCCCAGCTAATTTTTTTACTTTATTTTTTTATTTTTGTTGAGACTTGGTCTCAAATTCATGGGCTCAAATAATCTTCCCGCCTTGGCCTCCCAAAGTGCTGGGATTACAGGCGTGAGCCATTGCTCCCAACCTCATCCTTCCATTCCCAAGATCTCCTCCTACGTGAAGCCTTCATGGTTCCTAAAAGACCTCTTCCTATAGTCACCTCAGCCCAAAACATGGTAGCCTCTTCTTGACCTGACCTCTGTAACCTCAGTGGGAATATTTGGATTGGAGGATGACAGATTCTCCCCAGAGGACCCCACAGACAGCAGTGCCCCGTGTTCAAGACCATCCTCATACGTTATTTCCCTAACAGCATCATAAAATCAGAAAGCTACAACTTTTGAAATGCCTCTCAAAAGTTTAACCAATTGACCAGAGCACTGGATTACTGAGTAACATTCATGCCTTCTCTGTGACTCATCCTGAGCAAAAGGCAAGCCAGAGGACATGGGTAGAAAACCAGACTGAGTCCTGGGTCCAGTTCTACCAGCCAACCATATTGTGGGGCTCCTAATTTTAGATGAGGAAAGAGAATTAGTCATAGAAGTCGCTTCCTTGGCTCTCTAGAAGGAAACCATCTTTTATAGGTTCAGGCCCAAAGACAGCCATAGTTGTACACAAGATGGTCTCTTACTAGCTACATCATCAGGGAAACTTTCTGAGTTTTTGTTTCCTCACTTGCAAAGTGAGAATAACATAACAGCCTACCCACCACCCCAAGGCAATAGCTTGAGAATGGTTCTGAAAGTGCAGGTGGGAGAGAGCAAGGCTGTATTGAAGGGACCTGTTTCATTTGGATGAAAACTGACAACAATCCAAATCTCTTCCCCTTCTCCATGGGCATGAGCCATGGGTTTAGAGTTCTGCCTGGAAATATTCGGGATAGAAGGGGAATGGGAGGAGATCTGAAGTAACTCCCTAGAATAGCATGTGCTGCTTGCTTTTATAGACTGGATAGAATGTAATACATGTGGAAGACAGAAGAGTCATTCACTAAGTACGCTAAGATACATTTGGATGGGCAGGTTGAAGGCCTTCAGGAGACTGAAATTTCCATTGTAAAGATAGCAACTGGAAGCACAATAAAGTGCTTACTACCTTCCAGGCTCTGCTGAGAGTTTTCTATGTATTTACTCGTTTCATCCATGTAATAGCTCTAAAATGTAGGAATCATTATCATCACACCTTCCCTCAAATCAGCCAATAAGGGGTTGAGTAAGGAGTCAACCTTCAACCCCAGACAATCAAGAAGCAGAGTCCGTATTCTCAGCCACTGCAGGTGGTGAGCTGTAGGAAGCCTTTTCTTTAGCACAGTGGCTGCGCCGACCATTGCTCCCACTCCTGGCTCTACCAATGTAGCACGTGAAGTCCCTACTGCTCATCTGCAGATCCATTTTGGTGCGAACTCACTTTTCTGTCCAACATGTGTAAGTGTGAGTCTGTCTGTCTCAGAAATAAGAGTATAGCTCGTGAAGGACAAGAAAGGCTTGGTGCAGTGGCTAAGCCTGTAATCCCAGCACTTCAGGAGGCTAAGGCAGGAGAATCACTTGAGCCCAGGAGTTCAAAAGCAACCTGGGTAACATAGAAAGACTTTATCTCTACAAAAAATAAAAATAAAAACAAAAAAATAGCCAGCTGTGGTGGGCCAAGCCTGTGGTCCCAGCTCCTCCAGAGGCTGAGGCAAGGAGGATCGCTTGAGCCCAGGAGTTCAAGAGCAGCATGGGCAACATAGAGCAACTCCATTTTTGAAAAAAAAAAAAAAAAACTTTAAAAAAAATAGCCATATGTGGAGGCTCAAGCCTGTGGTCTCAGCTACTCCAGAGGCTGAGGCAGAGAGGATCACTTAAACCCAGGAATTTGAGGCTACAGTGAGCCATGATTGTGCCACTGTGCTCCAGCCTGGGCAGCAAAGCAAGACCCTGTCTCTTAAAAAAAAAAAAAAAAAAAGAAGGGCAAAAAGTAGATGTGTATCTTATAGACATTCCATGATACAGAATACAGGGGAGGTTCTCTCTCCATAGGAGAGTGGAGAAGACTAGGCTTCAGAATTAATGAACAGGAATGTAAGTATCACTTTTCTCTCTTATTAAGTATGACGTTGGGCAAATTGTAACCTTCTTAAAACTTTGTCACCCGTAAAATGAATATAACAACAGAAGTAACTCGTAGAGTCAGCTTATCACAGTGCCTGGTACATGATAAGCACCTAATACATTTTAGCTACCAATAACAATAATAATCCGTTCTTCCAGATGGAAACTTTGTCATTGGGTATCCCTCTCTCAATGGCTCATCTCCTCCCTTAGTAAGAGGCATAGTTCACTAGTCCCCAGATGATCGTCCTCAGCAAAAGTCTGCATCAGGATCTCTAACCAACTGAACTCCAACAGTTCTCAAAGGGAGAGAGGGTTCCCTGAGGGTGTTTCCAAATGCGGAGGGTGCATATTGGAATGGGGAGGAGCATTTAGTGGGTTGAGTGGCCAGGATGTGAAATAACTTGCAATGCTCAGGACTGCCCTATACAGTGAAGAATTTTCCCACCCGAAACACTAATGGTGCTTCCGCTGAAAAATACAGGTGGCTCGGGAAATGTTTAGAGATGAAAGACAGCTGACAAAATCATTCCAATGAACAGGTCAAAGAGGTGAGCAACCCAAAATCAATTAGGGAATCACCAGTACCTCCTTATGGTTTCTGGTGGCTCTGCATGGAAGGGAATCTGACCGGCTGAGGCCAGGGTGTCCCGCAAGGCCTTGCTGACCTCCTGCAGCTGACCCAGGGACAGCCGACCCACCAGCGGGGTCGGGTCACAGCCCTGCCACCGGAGTTGCTGCTCTTGCTCCTCAATTTCCCTTCTCAGCTGTTGATCTTTGGCTTCCAGCACAGACATCCTTGCTTGGAGAGCTTCAATTTCTTTCTGTGGAGAATGAGGAGACCAGATTTTATAAATTAACCTTGCTCATGGCAAACTGCTCCGAGGATAATGACTCATTTAAATGAGAATTGGCCATATGCACCAGAACCACGAAGCTCCCCTTCTGAGGCAGGCAGATTTTTGGAGTTTGCTGAACTGGAAAAATCATGCCAGCTTTATATTTCTAATGAGTTGGCATAAGGAAAAACATTCCCTCCCAAGCATTGAATAACTATGGGGGGTGAGCCAAGAATTTGACTTGGAAGAACCCAGCAGATATACAAATGACTTACTTCATTTCGGATGGGCGAGTTAAGACATGGGGCAGGGAGCGTCATGTACCTGAGGTCTGAGCTAAGCAGGTAACCCCAGCCACAGACCAAAACAAGAAATGCAAGGGACCCTTTGTTTGTCTGTCCCCAAACACAAGAATTCAGAATAAAGAAAACGTTAAAAAAATCATGGCTTCTTAAGTCCACAGGAATGAAAAAAGAATGAGATGCTGCCGATAGTGCCATGCAGTCTAAAGATCATGAAAATACAAATAAATGTAATTTCTACAAATACAGCAAACTGAAATCCAAATAATGCATAAAATATCATCTAATCTTAGGGTCGACAAACTAAACAAGCAGCAGGTAATGAACACCCACAGCATGATAGCAGATCATCATCTCACTGCCCATATGATTCTGAATCAAAAATAAGACTCTTAATTAACATACTCCCATGTTTTGTGCTTCTAAGAGCTCAAATCTAACCCTGGGTGTCTCCTCACTTCTTATACACGTTCTCTCAGCCCCAAGGTACATCACGTACAACTTCTACTGAGGAAGGAGACCCTTAATCCTCCTAAGCTTCAAAGACCACTTCCCTCTAGACTTCTACATTGCATTTCAATAGGAGAAGTAAAGGCTGGCAGACCGGGGCACCGCCCTTAACCGCACTCCTATAGATCACAGGCATGCTATGGAGGAATCTTTCCGGAAGGCATTGTTTTTGCTTAAACACGATCAAACCACCACCTAGTCACGTACCCCATGCCTACTTCATGGATCAAGATCCTTTCACGTGTAATTTCTGAATTGTAAGGCTTTAAAAGGACAAGGATTTTCTTTGTTGGGGAGCTCGGCTATTAAGGTATTTTCACCTGCCACAGCTCCCGGACAAATAAATCACCACTTTCCTCCCTGTTCCCTGATCAAGAGGTTTGTTTGCGGCTGCTCCTGCTTCACTACCTCCTGAATCCACTTCAATTATGGGAGTGGGGAGAGGAATGGGGAGTCACTAAAAAATGTCTACCACCAAGACATTCTAGAAAAAGGTAATGCCTCAGTATCCTCGATTGCTCCAAGATTACACCATTACTGACAAAGTCTCTCAACTAACCTCCCTACCTCCACCCTTGACTTCCTCTACCCTACTCTTTTTCTTTTAGTTTTTTTTAGCTGGTAAAATACACATAGCATAAAATTCACCATCTTGAGCATTTTTAAGTGTAGAATTCAGTGGCATTAAGTACATTCACATTGCTGTACAACCATCACTGCCATCCATCCATAGAACTCTTTTCATCTTGCAAAACTGACACTCTGTACTCATTAAAAACTAATTCCCCATTCTCTCTTCCTCCAAGTCGCTGGGAATCACCATTCTACTTTCTCTATGAATTTAACTCCTCTAGGTAGCTCACCCAAGTGGAATCATACAACATTTATCCTTTGTGACCGGTTTATTTCACTTAGCATAATGTGCTCAAGGTTCATCCATGCTGTCGTGTGTGTCAGAACTTCCTTCCTTTTAAGACTTAGTAATATTCCATTGCATGTACATACACATTTTATCAGTTACTTGTTAATGAGCATTTGACTTGTTATCAGCTTTTGGCTATTGTGAATTATACTACTATGAGCATGGGTGTATAAATATCTCTTTGAATCTCTGCATTCAATTTTTTGGAGATATATATATATATATACCCAGAATGGGGTGGCTGGACCACACAGTAAATTAATTTTTTTTATTCTTTATTTTTCTTTTTGAGATGGCGTTTTGCTCTTCGTTGCCCAGGCTGGAGTGCAGTGGTACAATCTTGGCTCTCTGCAACCTCCGCCTCCCAGGTTCAAGTGATTCTCCTGTCTCAGTCTCCCGATAGCTGAGATTACAGGCACCTGCTACCACACCCAGCTAATTTTTGTATTTTTAGTAGAGATGGGGTTTTACTGTGTTTGCCAGGTTGGCCTTGAACTCCTGACCTCAGGTGATCTGCCCACCTCAGCCACCCAAAGTGCTGGGATTACAGACGTGAGTCACCGCACCTGGCCCAACTTTTAATTTTTTCAGGAAGCTGCATACTGTTTTCCATTTTGTCTTATATCCTATTCCTAATACAGTAGTCAAATTATTGACAATGTGGTCAGATCCTGTCACTTCACTGCTTAACAGCATCCAGTGGTTCCCTGTTGTAATCTGAGAAAAATCCAAATCCTTTCCAGGCCCTTTAATCTCTGACTTCCTCCCCAAATTCACACTGCTCCAGCCACATGGGCCTCCAGCTGCCCTCTGAACACAAGAGGCCCACTCCCACTCTACGCCTTCATGTTGGTGTCCCCCTGCCCAGGATGCTCTTGCAGAAATTTCTGTAAGGCCTACTCCCTCTCCTCTTTCAAGGGTTGGGTCCAATCTCACTTCTCAAGGAGTAGACTCCATCCTTCACGTCACCCTAGTCTACTCTGCGCAGCTCTTCTCACCCTACCAGATAGCTAATTGAGGTATTTTTTATGTTTATCACTTATTGTCTATCTCCCCATTCTCACCCCCAATAGCTCAAAAGCTCCCCAAGAATCCCAAGCATTTCAAACAGTATCTGGCACTTAGTGAACCCTCAATAAATGCCTGTTGAATAAATGAATATTCAAGTACCTTTCCCCAGAGTGCTTCAAACACTAAGTGCCTAGGGCTAAAATTATATTCTCTACACTCTGACATTCTCAGGAATTATGTAGACCTTTAAATTGGCAAATGTTATTAAAAACCAAAAACCAGATTTCACATTTTCATCTATACAAACATGGTAAGGATGCACATGGACTATGTGAGTGCTCAGTTATGGGGGAAATCGTTTCAAATAAATTGCCCTGACTTTTGCCTTTCTTTGCCACCTTACTCTTGTAGTCACCTGAATGGGGCAAATTCAGATAACAAAAAACCCTCTATGGTGGGAGCAGAGAGGGGGAAGCCTCCAGCCTAAGCCAGGATTTAGACTTGGGCAGATCTATGCTCTTCCCATGAAGTCACGTTGCTTCTAATCAATGTGTCCTCATTGCTCCCACCCGTGCTTCACTGCTCCAGGCCCAAGCAGGCACGGACCCTGTTTCAAGATTCCCTGCCTCTGGGGTGCCCTGTCAACTTCCAGAGCTCTGCCTTTAACTCGGTGCTGCACCCAGATCTGTAGCCCCTCGATGATTCTTAGCCAACTTTGATGCACTGTCAGCGGCCAACCCTGGGCTTCCACGCAGCTGTCTCATCATTCCAGGTGTGCCTGCCTCACTCGCTCTGGACTTACAACTCTGTCTCTTAACAACTGCAGTTCACCGTCTACCACGATAGGGATTTCCATAAAGGATTTTCACAGCACAGATGTCTTTCTGCCTTTCAAAGGAAGCTTCTAAAGGTCAAAATGATAAGAAGTGGCAAACTGGCCTGGCAGACAAGAAAAGCATATTCAAAAGGTAATGAGGAATATCGAAAACAGGCTCAAACGCTGCTGAGCTTTCAACCCTCATTTGTAATGAGATTCCTACAAGCCCTCTAGTCATTCCCACCATCTCTCAGTTTTGTACTCCCCCGGCTTGACAGCCAAGGCTCTAATTGCCACACTCAAGCAAAGCAAAACCCCATTTGGCTGCATTTGGCTTAAATGGATAAGAAAAATGCTGGCTGGGCAAGGTGACTCACACCTGTAATCCCAGCACTTTGGGAAACTGAGGCAGGAGGATCGTTTGAGCCCAGGAGTTCAAGAGCAGCTTGAGCAACATAGTAAGACCTGATCTCTACTAAAAATAAACAAAGTTAGCCAGGGATGGGGGGGCATGCCTGTAGTCCCAGCTACTTGGGAGGCCGAGGTGAGAGAATCACCCAGGAGCTGATTGCGCCACTGCCCTCCAACCTAGGCAACAGAGTGAGACCTTGTCTCAAAGAAAAGAAAAATGCCATCATATTTCTTATCTTTCACCTGCTCACCTGTAATTGCTGCTTTTCCTGAAGAAGCCAATCTCGTCTCGTGATGGACACATGCAAGTTGTCCCGGGCAGTGGGTTCCAACAGCCTGGGCTCCATTCTGGGTGGGGCTTGGGTGTCATCTCCGCTGGCCCTTAAAATAACACATACCTATTGGTACAGGTATGGGGAAGCTGAAATCCTCATGTTGACAAGAATTTTAAGAGTAAGAAAATTCACCAACTCCCCCCAGCTGTTCTCATCCTTAGGAGGGTACCCACTTGTTTTTACATTGAGCTTCTTAATGTAAGTTTCTACCTTAATTACAATCTCTTGGGGATTTTCCTTTTTCACCTGTTTCTTATTAATCTGGGGAGAACATAACCAGACCTTTATTCAAATGATGAGGAGTGCTGAATTTACTCTTACTATTTCTGAAATTCACCAGTTCCCTTGCCTTTACGCCATCTACCTTTCCTCTGCTCATTTAGAATCTTCCACTTTGCACTAATATTTGAGTCACTAGTCAATGAGAGGTTGTCACTGAGGGTTTCAGAAGATTTGTTTCTATGATCAGCTTTAATCACAGAGAAATATACTTCTTGCAGAGACTACATCACATTTTTTTTTATTCCCAGCACTTATCACAGGGTTGAACTTAATAAAATTAAGCTAAGAGTTCTAGAAAATGCAACTGAGCTCCTGGCAGCATTTTCATCTATTTCCTGAAATTTTCACTGGATTAACTTTCTCTTTTTTTTTTTTTTTGAAATGTTTTCTCACTACGATGCCCAGGCTGGAGAGCAATGTCACAACCTTGGCTCACTGCAACCTCAGCTTTCCGAATTCAAGCAATTCTCCTGCCTCAGACTTCTGAGTAGCTAGGACTACAGGCATGCACCACCAAGCCTAGCTAATTTTTGTATTTTTAGTAGAGATAGGGTTTCACCATATCGGCTAGGTTGGTCTCGAATTCCTGATCTCAAGTGATCCTCCCTCCTCTGCTTGCCAAAGTGCTAGGATTACAGGTGTGAGCCACCACACCCAGCCCTTAATCTTTTTTAATGTGGCTACTAGATCATTTAAAATCATATATGTGCCTTGCCCTAGATTTTATTGTGCTAGCCAATAAAATCTAGGGCAAGGCCCCTGCATGATTTTAAATGATGTATGTGCCTTGCACTAGATTTTATCCAAACAGGGCCAAATGCCAGGGCTGACCTTGATGGAGATTAAAAGGAGGTGTGACTGATTTGCAGATGCTTGGGTGCCAGCTTCTCAGAAAAGATTGCTAAAAGATTGTCAAAACCACTTAAAACCTGTTAGGCTCCTTCACTTATTCTTGCCAGAGTTGACATATTTGGTGACAGTGATGCTGGTGAAAATGTGGCACAGGCTTGGACCTTACGTTGGTGAGCTGTCTTTACAGGAGATTTGGTGGTTTTTGTCACCAAAGAATGACAAATTCATCCTTAAAACATTCCATTTCTAACTCAATGCAGGTGGGAAGAAAAACAATTTACCCTAAGCAAAACTACGTCAACAATTCAAGGAAGCTATGTCTAAGAAAACATCATCAACTAAAACTAAAAGGCAAATGATGAGTTGGGAAAAATATATTGCCACACATATGGCAGAAAAAAGGGTAAGACTGCTAATTTAGAAGAAGTTCTATCAAATTAAGAAGGAAAAGACAAGTGCACCAACCAGAAATTCCAAAAGAAAAAAAAGTATTACGGCTGAGCGTGGTATTGCACACCTGTAGTCCCAGCTACCTGGGAGGCTGAGGCAGAAAATTGCTTGAGCCTAGGAATTTGAGACCAACCTTGGCAACATAGCAAGAACATCCCTAACCTCAAAAATAAGTGAAGCAAAACAAAACACAAAAAATGAATTGCAACGTGTTCAGGAAAATGATTATCATCCAAAGATGGCTTTAAATGCAAATCCAAACAACATAAAATACCATGTTTCACCTAACAAACTGGCCTGGCAAAGGTTTTCCAAACCATAAGTCTTTGGTGAGAGTAGGGAATTAGAATGAGACTTAAAATTAAATATAACTTGGGATTCTACATTCCCACATCTAAGTACTGATTGCATGTAAATAATCACAGTTTATTTTTTTGTGGGGGTGGGGGGGTTGGTTTGTTTTTTGTTTTGTTTTGGTTTTTGGAGATAGGAGTTTCGCTCTTGTTGCCCAGGCTGGAGTAGAATGGTGCGATCTTGGCTCACTGTAACCTCTGCCTCCTGGGTTCAAGCGATAAGCGATTCTCCTGCCTCAGCCTCCCTAGTAGCTGAGATTGCAGGCACCCACCACCATGCCTGGCTAATTTTTGTATTTTGAGTAAAGACAAATAAGGTGAATATTTGGCCAGGCTAGTCTCAAGCTCCTAACCTCAGTGATCCCACTCACCTTGGCCTCCCAAAGTGCTGGGATTACAGGGAGGAGCCACCACAGCCAGCCTTAATAATCACAGTTTTACACAAATATTACCTATAAAAACCATCTTTTTTCTTAGTAGCCCAAGACTGAAAATAATCGTACCCCAGCATCAGGACCTCTTAGCAATGCTAAGTAGCCACTAAAATTAGGTCACACAAGAAGATACATTGACCTGGAAAACGTTCACTATTTATTACTATGTTTCTAAAATATTGTTAGCATGTATATAAGATTTTAAAAATATATTCACCAAAATGCTATCAGCTCTTATCTCTGGGTGGTGGGATCACTTCTTTCAGTTGATCCTTCTAAAGTTTCTGTAGTAAGCATGCATCATTTTTACAACTGTAACATAAAATGTTTGCCAACACACACTAAGTAGCTGCACTTTTAATCTGAATATTTTAACACAGCCAATCAGTCTTGTAGCTCTTGAACATGCCTGTGTTTTAAATAAATCCCATCAATAACCTCATCTTCAAGGTCATCTTCCCTTGCAGAGGAGCAGATATCTGTAGCTTCTGACACTTGCAGGCATAAACTCAGCATCCTGAAAGGGCCAAATTAAACCTGTCCCCTCCTCCCGTGGAATCTCCCACACAGCTAGATCTTGTCTGCCACCTTTGTACTTATTTCAGAGCTCAACGAGGAGATTCGTGAAGCTGCATGTTCTTATTTATATATTAACACAGGGTCGCACTACCTCCGCATTTCTTAGAAAAGAAAATGAGTAACTGATCCTAATATACGTTGTGCTATGTTTGTCTCCTTTCACTCCTACCCCATTTCATTCATTCATTCAGAAAAAGAAAAAACAGTACTGAGCTCCCGTGCTATGGACTATGGATTGTGCTTGGCACCGGGGGCACAATGGTGAACAGGACTTGGTTCTTCCATGGCGCAGGGGAGACAAATGCATCAGCAGAAAAATGACAAGTCAGTGAAGAAATGGGCAATGCATGGCACAGATCAACGACGGTGGGCTTTAAAGCTGGGGGAGACGCTCCCCCTTGCTGAGTCTTAACTCGACACTTACAAAATAAGTAAACCAACCAACCATGGTGCAATGAAGCAGGCTTTATGTTTTTAGAAACAATACTAGAAAATATGTCACCTCAGCTTTTCTAAGATAGAAAATAGCAGTTACAGAAAAAGGAACCTTGCTTTTGTTCCTATGTCTAACACAACGGATTATCTGAATAACCTTAATGGTCACTTATTGTAACCTAAGATGCAATTTAGAAATCTATTCCTTGTTTCATGTGTTTAAAGGCAAATAATGGTTGGGTGTGGTGGCTCTAATCGCAGCACTTTGGGAGGCCGCGTCAGGCAGATCATGAGGTCAGGAGATCGAGACCATCCTGGGTAACACGGTGACACCTTGTATCTACTAAAAATACAAAAAATTAGCCGGGCATGGTGGCATGCACCTGCAGTCTCGGAAGGCTGAGGCAGGAGAATCAGTTGATCCCTGGAGGCAGAGGTTGCAGTGAGCCGAGATAGCACCACTGCATTCCAGCCTGGGTGACAGAGCGAGACTGTCTCAAAAAAAAAAAAAAAAAAAAAAAAAAAAGGCAAATAATTACAGCAGCATAGCAGCAAGCAACAAAAATCGTTAAACTGATAAAATAAACTACTATGAATTGGGACTATTCTGTACACCAGAAGTTGAAGATGCTATTATACCAGTTTTGCTGATGAGGAAACCGAGTCCCGGGGGTCAGAGTCTAGCCCACGGCCACACAGGCAGCAGGAAGCAGACTTTAGGAGCCAGTGCGGATCAGGCTGAGTCCCAGGTTCCAGTTCTCTCCCAGATACCACATGTCTTTAGGTTCTCAGCAAGCCCAGGAACCTCCATCTCCCCTGCCTTCCAGTCACCATCCACACATACCCATTGTTTGAGCCCTCTCGTTGGCTCTCAGCAGGGCAATGCAGCGTGGGGAGTGCACGGCACGTGGAGGTAGAGGCCACCCTTTGGGTCCTGGTTCTGCCTTCTTCACGCTGTGTCGCTGGACTTACCTAATCTCTCTGAATCTTACTTTCTTTGTTTTTAAAATGAGAATGACAATGACGATGACAAGAATGCCTTCCCTATGCAGTGAACTATGGGAACAAATGGATTTGACAAACGACCACTGAGCATCTACTGTATACAGACCTCAACCTCACACTGGGGCTGTTTGGGGATGGAGACAGAACTAACTTCCTCAAGAAGCTTGCGTTGGTTGATCTCCCCAGCATCTCAATGTTTGCATCGGGGAAACAAATACTGCACTCCTGTCCAAAGTACCCACTTCCAATACAGAGTAACAAAAATGAAAGATGTGGGCCAGGTGTGATAGCATAAGCCCGTAATCCCAGCACTTTGGGAGGCCAAGACAGAAGGATCACTTGAGCTCAGGAGTTCTAGTACAGCCTGGGCAAGACAGTGAGACCTCATCTCTACAAAAAAATTAAAAATTAGTCAGGCATGGTGGCACGTGCTTGTAGACCCAGCTACTCAGGAGGCTGAAGTGGCAGCATCAGTTGAACTCAGGAGGTAGAGGCTACAGTGAGCTATGATCATGCTGCTGCACTCCAGCCTGGGAAACAGGGCAATTGAGAAGGAGGGAAGGAAGGAAGGAAGGAAGGAAGGAAGGAAGGAAGGAAGGAAGGAAGGAAGGAAGGAAGGGAGGGAGGGAGGGAAGGAGGGAGGGAGGGAGGGAGGC